GGAGGGTAGTAGGGACTTGCAGGTGGCGGGAAACTTAAATATGATTTGGCGGTTGGGAATTTGGAGGCTGGGAATTTGGCAGTTGGGAATTCGCAAATGTGTGAAGCCTGCGAAAGTTGAAAATGCAAATATTGAGAGAGACCTGTATACTAGAGCTGATTTTCTCTATTCTGCTTATTACAATATACAGTACACTACAGTATAAACATTTAAAAATATACCAGAAATGTTATAAATGGTGCAAAGGTGACATTAAAACAATATCAAAGATAGCTGACACAAACCCACTACCGTTATAGCATGCTCCTCACTTAGCGATGAATTCATTTACCAACATGGTCTTAGGAACGGAACTCCGTCGTTAGGTGAGGAGAGGCTGTATTGAAAGTTCAAGGAAAAGGGATAAAACATTAAGGAAAAAAACAAGAGAGAGGACAAGAAACAACATACAAGACCACAAAACAAAGAAAGAGATACATGCAACTTCCATTAACATGTGATGCCTGAATGCTATTAAAAAAATTTTATTCAAGTAGTTCCAATTAACCTCCATGGGGAAGTGGAACAGAATTCTTCCTCCGTAAGCCATGCGTGTTGTACGAGGCGACTAAAATGCCAGGAGCAAGGGTCTAGTAACCCCTTCTCCTGTATATATTACTAAATTTAAAAGGAGAAGCTTTTGTTTTTCCTTTTGGGCCACCCCGCCTCGGTGGGATACGGCCGGTGTGTTGAAAGAAAGAAGAAAGTTCCAATTAAAGACCTTCAATGATCTTTTATGGAAATATTGTCCACATGGAGGAAATACAGTGGAACCTTGACTTACGAGTGCCGCAACATATGAGTTTTTCGAGGTACACGTACAAGCCGTCAGTTGAACTTTTGCTCTGAGTTACCAACTAAAATCTGAGTTATGAGCGATCTTCCCCCTCAGCCCACAACCCGCACACCTCGCTTGTGTTTATCTATGATTTCATGCTTTAATTCCATGGACATCATCCTCTTTCTTCTCAGCACTGTCCTTTGCACTTACTTTCTAAGGACCCATGGTTAGAAAAAAGAAATGTGGCAAAATAACTGCACAAAATGCAAGAAAAACACAAGAGAAATGCTTCCACGGTGAAGTAAACAGTGCACTGCACCAACTAGTGGCATTCTGAAGCTTCTCGTTATTATTGCAATAATTATTACATTATTATTAAAATAATTATGAGTATTATTATTATTATTATTAATTTAGGGAACTGAAGCACAGATCCAATTCCCTAGATCAAGAGCCTGAATCAGCATAGAATATAGTACGTACTTGTGATGAGATTTTAGTGAAATTTGAAAATCCTGCCAAAAATGGTGAAAAACTCTGAACTACAGTTCTGGGATTTTTTACGGTGAAAAAACTTTTTCTCTCAAAATGGAAAGTGCTCACACCAAGACACCAGCTGGTCTTACCTCACACCAAGACACTACTCGTCCTAATACTGATCTTTGTGAGAGAGACAGAGACAGAGAGAGAGATTGAAAAATGATCTAAAATGTTATTTTACTGCATATTATAACGATTTAAGGAAAAAAATGATTTTCAATGATTTTTCAACATTTACAAATATATTACAAATTTTTTAAAAATTTCAGAATTTTTATTTAAAATATGTATAGACAAAGTACTTCACAAAAATTGCATAATTTAGCTTACTTTTAGTATAAAATCTAGTTGCAGCCTCAGTGAACGTTTTTGGAGTGATTAGAAAGGAACACTGAAAAATTATGGAAAAAAATGTTTTCCCACACATACAGTGGATGATCAAGTGAACAACAATCATACAGTGAATGAACATAGCAAAAAATTTAAATACAGCAGTAATTCTGATTTAAAAGTGTGAAAATCTATGAATTTTAGCTAAAAAATGAGCTTTGTTGACTGAGGAAGAGGGAGTGTTGTTGACTGAGGAAGAGGGGGTGTTGACTGAGGAAGTGAGTGTGTTGTTGACTGAGGAAGAGGGTGTGTTACTGATGTTCCTTGATGCTGGTGAGGGGCTCTTGATCTTAGGAATTGGATCTGTGCTCCAGTTCCCTAAATTAATAACCATAATAATTATAATAATAATAATAATAACAATAATAATAATAATATAGGCCCACATCCCTTTATCCGAAAACCTTGGGGCCAGTATTGCTTCAAATTTCAGAATTTTTCGAAGTTCAGAATGATTCTCAATGTCGCCACGTGGTGGTGTGACCAGCACTGAGATGACGGATGCTCCACACACCACGAAAAACCTTTGGTTTTCGAAACTTTTCCAATTTCAGAAATTCGGATAAAGGGTTGTGGACCTGTAACAAGGAGCATCAGCACGCCGCCCCTAGTTGGCGCAATGCACTCTTTACCTCGCTGTGGAAGCATTTCTCTCATGTTTTGCTTGCATTTTGTGCAGTTATTCTGCCAAATTTCTTTCTTCTAACCAAAGGTCCTAAGAAAGTAAGTGCAAAGGACAGTGCTGAGAAGAAAAAGAGGATGATGTCTATGGAATTAAAGCATGAAATCATAGATAAACACTCAGTTTCAGAAGGGGGAGAATGAGAAGATATGGTCAGTGCGGGAGTGGGAGGAGCTGCCACCACTCGCCATATTATGGCCTATTTTATTCATTCTAGAATGTATATCATGCTTCTATGTTACTTATATTGTTTATTATTTCATATTAGATCAACTGTGACAGATAAATAAACCGTATATTGAAGTATTTTGTCCTGCCTCCCGAGAGCAGGAATTCTGCTGGAACGGTTTAGTAGCATTTCAATTAATTTAAATGAGGAAAACTGATTTGATATACGAGCAAACTGAGTTATGAGCTAGGTCACGGAATGGATTAAACTCTTAAGTCGAAGTTCCACTGTATTTTGTCAAATACTGCCCCATCTCAAACTAGAGAGACTTAAATCGTTTCACAGGTAATATATTTGCTTAATACAGTGGACCCCCGGTTAACGATATTTTTTCACTCCAGAAGTATGTTCAGGTGCCAGTACTGACCGAATTTGTTCCCATAAGGAATATTGTGAAGTAGATTAGTCCATTTCAGACCCCCAAACATACACGTATAAACGCACTTACATAAATACAATTACATAATTGGTCGCATTCGGAGGTGATCGTTATGCGGGGGGGTCCACTGTATTAACCCATAAACGGTCCAAACGTATATATACGTTTTTTCAACATTTGAAAGTAAGTAAAAAAAAGTAGATCTTCTTTTTGTTTTTTTACATTTGAAAATGTGTAAAAAAACTTTGACCTACTTTTTTTTTTGTTATATTTGAAAATATGTAAAAAAATACATAGATCTACTTTTGTAGCACTACACATGTGAACGTAGATCTGCTTGGACCGTTTACGGGTTAATAGCAAGAATTTGCTAAATATAGCTATCTAAATGGGTGATGAATGTTGCAACAAGGAGAAGGCTGGAGGCAGTGGAGATGTCATATCTGAGGGCAATGTGCGGTGTGAATATAATGCAGATAATCCATAGCCTGGAGAATAGAAGGAGGTGCAGGGTTTTTAAGAATGTTATCTAGAGGCCAGAAGAAGGGTTGTTGAGATGGTTAGGACAATGAGAGAGGATGAAACAAAACAATGACTTGGAGGGCATATAAATCAGTGGTGGAAGGAAGGTGGGGTAGGGGTTGTCCTAGGAAAGGTTGGAGGGAGAAGGTAAAGGAGGTTTAGTGTGGAAGGGGCTTGGACTTCCAGCAAGTGTGTGTGAACGTGTTTGATAGGAGTGGAGACAAATGGTTTTTATGACTTGATCTGCTGTTAGTGTGTGAGCAAAGTAACATTTATAAAGAGATTCAGGGAAACTGGTTAGCCAGACTCGAGTCCTGAACATGGGAAGTACAGTACCTGCACTCTGAAGGAGAGGTGTTATGTTGCAATTTTTTAGCTGGAGTGTAGGCATGCCTTGGTGGAAAATGGCTGATGTGTTAATCCCTCTCCATCTTCTCTACATTCCCAAACCACCTCAACAACTCAGCCCTCTGGATTATACCCTTGGCCATTCCACATTGCCTAATAATTTCTACGCTCTAAATTCTCTGCTTGATGTTCACACCACAGACTGCTCTCAAAAATGTTTTTTTTACTGCCTCTAGCTTCCTTTTCACTGTAGCATTCAAAACCCATGCCTCACACCCATATAAAAGTATTGGTACCACTATATTCTAGTGCATTCCTTTTTTTTTTTTCCTCCATAGATAAAATTTCTTTCCACAGATACCTCAACACCATCCTCCTTTTGCCACTCACCTCTTCTATAGTTCATCTCATCTTTCACTAACCCATCTGTTGAGATGTCCACTCCCACATTCCCTCCCTCCACTCTGATATTCATTCTATCATCATACAGATTTTGTATTAAGCTCATCACCTTGTTCTTCTCTGTGTTCCTTTTGATTTCCTTCTCTTACATATCCTCTCAAATTCATCCAGCAACCTTTGTAATTTGCCTTCAGAAAATTCCTGAACAAACTACAGTATGTGATCAGCAAAGAGCACCCAGGATAACTCCCACTTTGCATCAGATCCAACATCCCTCAATCCCACACCCCTTCCCAAAACCAGCATTTACTTTTTTCACAACTCCATCTATATATATTTTAAACAACCATGGTGGCATAACACATCACTGTCTAAGTCCTACTTTCACTTGAAAATAATCTCCCTTTCCCCTGCATACCCTAAAAGCTCTTAAATGCTTTTATTAACCTAGTTCCTATTCCATACATTTGCAACATCTGCCATATTTGTGTAGTGCATATTTATTTGGAGCATTTTTTATATTTTCTTTAAAACACCGGCCATCTCCTGCCATAGTAGTATGACCCCAATAAAAGGGAAACACATTCACTGTTATTCATTCAATCACTTTCCTGCCAGAATTATGCTGCCACCTCAGCTCAGAAAATCATATGGTCATAATATACATCTTTTCTCTTCTTTTCCATACCTTGGGTCCGGGGTCTTACGGCGAGCTGGAGACTCATCTGTTGAATCATCCAAGAGACTAAGATGAAGATCACTGGTGGATGATAAGCTGTCTTCATCACTTATCTCACTCAGGGCATCTGAACCCATCCCTGAAATGTTTCTGACAATTTAATCTTTCAAGCTCAGTTTTACATTCTCCCTAAATTTTGACGGTTTACCCCCCTAGTGAAAACCTTGATCGTTCAAGATTTTACTTCTTCAATCATCTAAATTAGTCTTCAATTTACACAAAAACAGACTATAAAGATATTTGTAAAAGTTACAAACTTATAAAAACAAACAAAATTGGTAACCAAACATATTTGAAAATTAACATGTAAGTATAATAATCAAGTCTCCACATACTCTTAAAAGTCAATTGGTTGGAATAAATTTTTTGTATTTTTTTTTAATCAAAGCTTTGACCTCTTAAAATATTTAGACTGCAAATACAAGATGCCTAAATATTGCAATATATTTAGAAAATATACAACCACAACCTGTTTTCTAAAATGTGCCATTTGAGTTATGCACAGTATTTATATTTGTTTACTATTTTCTTTAATTTCCATTAGTTTTTATGCTGTAATTGCAGATATGGACTCATTGGTATCTATGTAAATAATATGGTTAGACAATGGCAACTGCAGTGGACCCTCGGTTATCAGCCGTTTCACTTATCAGCCAACTCGGTTGTTGGCCGTTTTTTCGGCTTCTGGTTATCGGCTGTTATTTCGCTTATCAGCTGTATTGGAGGTGTCCATCGCCAGCTGCTCGCACATTCCTGAGTCAGTGTGGCTGTGTCTCTGGGTGAGTGAGGAAGCTTCTGCAAATTCATCCAAACATTTTGCTATAATCCATTGTTTCTGGCAGTTACTGATTAAGTGTAACTGCAAAATAAGTATCCATGGCCCCAAAGAAAGTTCCTAGTAAAGTTCCTTTGGTAAAGAAAGTTAGAAACATGATAGAATTCAAGGCAGGCAGGCATAGAGGCAAGGAGTGTAGCAGGCATGCAGGGAGTGTGCAGGAAGGCAGGGAGTGTAGCAGGCATGCAGGGCATGTAGCAGGCATGCAGGGCATGTAGCAGGCATGCAGGGCATGTAGCAGGCATGCATGGAGTGTATTAGGAAGGCAGGAAGTGTAGCAATGTTTACATGCAACGTTTTTTTTTTTCCAACAAACCGGCCGTATCCCACCGATGCAGGGTGGCCCCCCCCCCCCAAAAAAAAAAGTTTCTCTTTTTAAATTTAATAATCTATATAGGAGAAGGGATTACTAGCCCCTTGCTCCCGGCATTTTAGTCACCTCTTACAACACGCATGGCTTACAGAGGAAAAATTGTGTTCCACTTCCCCATGGAGATAAGAGGAAATAAACAAGAATAAGAACTAGAAAGAAAATAGAAGAAAACCCAGAGGTGTGTGTATATATATGCTTTATAAAACTGGGTTGCTTAAATGTGCGTGGATGTAGTGCGGATGACAAGAAACAGATGATTGCTGATGTTATGAATGAAAAGAAGTTGGATGTCCTGGCCCTAAGCGAAACAAAGCTGAAGGGGGTAGGAGAGTTTCAGTGGGGGGAAATAAATGGGATTAAATCTGGAGTATCTGAGAGAGTTAGAGCAAAGGAAGGGGTAGCAGTAATGTTAAATGATCAGTTATGGAAGGAGAAAAGAGAAAATGAATTTTGTAAATTCAAGAATTATGTGGGTTAAAGTAAAGGTTGGATGCGGAAGTGGGTCATAATAAGCGTGTATGCACCCGGAGAAGAGAGGAATGCAGAGGAGAGAGAGAGATTTTGGAGATGTTTTAAATGAATGTTATAGGAGCCTTTGAACCAAGTGAGAGAGTAATTGTGGTAGGGGACTTGAATGCTAAAGTAGGAGGGAAAATTTTAGAGAGGGTGTGGTAGGGAAGTTTGGGTGCCCGGTGTAAATGATAATGGGGGGCCCTTTGATTGAACTTTGTATAGAAAGGGTTAGTTATAGGTAATACATATTTTAAGAAAAAGAGGATAAATAAGTATACACGATATGATGTAGGGCGAAATGACAGTAGTTTGTTGGATTATGTATTGGTAGATAAAAGACTGTTGAGTAGACTTCAGGATGTACATGTTTATAGAGGGGCCACAGATATATCAGATCACTTTCTAGTTGTAGCTACACTGAGAGTAAAAGGTAGATGGGATACAAGGAGAATAGAAGCATCAGGGAAGAGAGAGGTAAAGGTTTATAAACTAAAAGAGGAGGCAGTTAGGGTAAGATATAAACAGCTATTGGAGGATAGAGGGGCTAATGAGAGCATAGGCAATGGGGTCGAAGAGGTATGGGGTAGGTTTAAAAATGTAGTGTTAGAGTGTTCAGCAGAAGTTTGTGGTTACAGGAAAGTGGGTGCAGGAGGGAAGAGGAGCGATTGGTGGAATGATGATGTAAAGAGAGTAGAAAGGGGAGAAAAGTTAGCATATGAGAAGTTTTTACAAAAGTAGAAGTGATGCAAGGAGGGAAGAGTATATGGAGAAAAAGAGAGAAGTTAAGAGAGTGGTGAAGAAATGTAAAAAGAGAGCAAATGAGAAGTGGTGAGATGTTATCAACAAATTTTTGTTGAAAATAAGAAAAAGTTTTGGAGTGAGATTAACAAGTTAAAAAAGCCTAGAGAACAAATGGATTTGTCAGTTAAAAATAGGAGAGGAGAGTTATTAAATGGAGAGTTAGAGGTTTTGGGGAAGAGGGAAAGGAATATTTTGAGGAATTGTTAAATGTTGATGAAGATAGGGAAGCTGTGATTTCGTGTATAGGGCAAGGAGGAATAACTCTTGTAGGAGTGAGGAAGAGTCAGTGTGAGTGGGGGGAAGGTTCGTGAGGCAGTAGGTAAAATGAAAGGGGGTAAGGGGAGCCGGGATTTATGGGATAAAGATAGAAAAAGTTTAAAAGCAGGTGGGGATATAGTTTTGGAGTGGTTGGTGCAATTATTTTAAAAAATGTATGGAAGAGGGTAAGGTACCTAGGGGTTGGCAGAGAGCATGCATAGTTCCTTTGTATAAAGGCAAAGGGGATAAAAGAGAGTGCAAAAATTAGGGGATAAGTCTGTTGGTGTTTCCTGGTAAAGTGTATGGTAGAGTTATAATTGAAAGAATTAAGAGTAAGACGGAGAATAGATAGCAGATGAACAAGGAGGGTTTAGGAAAGGTAGGGGGTGTGTGGACCAGGTGTTTACAGTGAAACATATAAGTGAACAGTATTTAGATAAGGCTAAAAAGGTCTTTGTGGCATTTATGGGGTTTGGAAAAGGCGTATGACAGGGGGATAGGGGGGCAATGTGGCAGATGTTGCAAGTGTATGGTGTAGGAGGTAGGTTACTAAAAGAGGAAGATTTTTTTACGGGATAGGAGGCTAATTTTTAAAGGTATGTGGGAAAAAGGGGGGAATTTTTTCCCAGTAAAAGTAGGCCTTAGACAAGTGTGGATGTCACCGGGGTTTTTAATATATTTATAGAGGGGGTTTGTAAGAGAAGTAAATGCAGGGTCGGGGCAAGGGGCGGGGATTTAAAAAGATAAAAAATCAACACAAAGGGGAGTTTCCAGCTGTCTTTGCTGATGACACTGTGCTCTTGGAGATTCTGAAGAGAAGTTGCAGAGTTGGTGGAGAATTTTGTAGGGTGGAAAAAGAAGAAATTAAAAGGGTGAATACAGGAAAGAGTAAGGTTATGAGGTAAAAAAAAAGATGGGTGATAAAAGTTGAATATCAGATTGGGGGGGGGAGGAGTATGGAGGAGGTGAAGTATTCAGAATTGGGGGTGGACGGTCACGGAGGGGCTATGAAAGATGAGGTGAATCATAAATTGATGAGGGAAAAAATGAGTGGGGACTTAGGTTGTGGAACAAAAAACTTGTCCTTGGAGGCAAAGGGGGAAGTATGGAGTATAGTTTTACCAAAGCTCTTATATGGGTGTGAAGGTGGGTGATGAATGTTCAGCGAGGAGAAGGGTGGAGGCAGTGGGGAAAGTCATTCCCGAGGGCAATGTGTGGTGTGAATATAATGCAGAGAATTGTGTTTGGAAGTTAGGGGGAGGTGCGGGATTTCCCAAAAATGTTTTCCAAAGGGGTGAGGAAGGGTTGTTGAGGTGGTTCGGACTTAGAGAGAATGGGGCGAAAAAAAAATGCTTCAAGATGAACTCGTATGGAAGGAAAGGGGGGTAGGGGGCGGCCTAGGAAGGGGTTTGGAGGGAGGGGGTAAAGGAGGTTTTTTGTCGAGGGGCTTGGCTTCCCGCAGGCATGCTGACGTGTTTGATAGGAGTGAATGGAGACAAATGGGTTTTTTAAAACTTGACGTCTGTTGGAGTGTGAGCAAAGTAACATTTATGAGGGGTTCAGGAAACCGGCAGGGCGGATTGATCCGGGAGAGGGAAGACAGTGCCTGCCTCTGAAGGGGGGGTGTTAATGTTGCAGTTTAAAAACTGAGTGAAAAAGCACCCTTTCTGGCAAGACAGGAGGGGAGTGAATGATGGGAAAGTTTTTTTTTTTTCGGGCCACCCCCTTGGGGGGAATCGGCCGGTGTGGATAAAAAAAAAAATGTATGGTTGTTTAATATATTAGGATGGGGTTGTAAAAGAGTAAAAAAGCTAGGGTGTTTTGGGAGGGGTGGGATTAAAAATGGGGGAAACAAATTTAAAATGGGAATTTACCAGTTACTTTTTGCGATGATACGTGTTATGGGAATTCCCAAAAAAAAATTGCAAAGGTTGTGGATGAGTTTGAGATGTGTGTAAAGTAGAAAGTTGAAAGTGAACATAGAAAAAAGTAAGGTGATGGGGTATCAAATGATTAATAAAGAAAAAATTGGATATAAATTGGGGAGAGGGGTAGGAAGAAGTGAAAGTTTTAGATACTTGGGAGTTGACGTGTCGGGAATGGATTTATGAAGTTTAGGGTTAAACATAGAATTGATGAGGGAAAAAAGGTGATGGTGGGGTTGAGGTATATGTGGATCAAAAAACGTATTTGGAGGCAAAAAAGGAAATGTATGAAAGATAGTATACCCACTCTTTTATGGGTGTGAAGTTGGGGGGTAAATGCAGCAGCAAAAAACGGTTTGGGGGGCAGTGGAGAT